CTGAGTGTGCTCGGGTTATGGCTGTTCATTTGGTAAAGGTATGAACGAAACAGTAGTAGCTATGAACTGAAGCCACAGTAAAGCTTTACTGAAGCCACAGTAAAGGAAAACAACAGGATTTTCTGTAGAAGTGCCAGAAGTTTGAACTAGAAAATATGTTGATCTTGCTCAATGCACTAAGACATTTTCTTAAGATTTATGCAGCTATTTATTTTGCCATGCTGTAGTATGGCTTTCCTTTCTAGGATGTCCCAGGACCTGTTACTCACCATAAAGGGCCACATGCACCTGCCAGCTCTTCTTGATATGGGGGATGCTACAGGAAAAGATTGTAAGATGTTTTGGACTATAACATGCTCTGCCTCTCTTTCTTTGAACCCCCATGTAGGAGTCGCTGTTCTTCATTGACCAAGGTGTTTGAAGTATGTCCTTGCTAAGAAAATGTAATGATGTAACGTCTTGTGTGAACCATTACAATGAAGGTCATTCAGCAGGTTGAGCTAGACCATCCTGAGGTGGCACAGATAACAGCTGAGGTCCCATACTCTCCTGTTCAGTATAGGATACAAGCTGTGCTCATGGAATATGTGGGATGCTAATACTCCAAGTGTTTCTTGTGCTGTATGCTATCCTGGTCTGCCAACAGTTGCTGAGTTTGGTGTTCTTACGGCTTTGGGTAGTGTTACTGCCCATATTTGATACTTGCTGATTTTGCCAGTCCATGCAAAATCAGTTTTTAGGCAACATGACTGCCAGTAATTGTGATGGAGCATTACTCTTTCTCATGCTATCAACTGTGGATAGCTGTAGATCATTTGTGTTTTGTAAATTCTGTAAATAAGCTTCTAGTTGTCATGGTAATAAAGTATGTATCAGAGCTTTTTAACCGAGTTGCTTGTCAATTTGGATATTATCTTCTCCTTTTTCCATTGCCTTTGTTTGGTATGTTCTGTATTTTTTTGGTTTTTTAGAAAGAATCTGTTACTATATGCAAGATGTCTTTTTTCATTCCTATAAAACAGATGCAATTCTACGTCATTGATCACATTGTTTCTGACATAGCAACAAGAGGTCAGTTTTGTTGGGGGAAAAAACAAATGTATTTTTCAGGGAAGCTGTACTGGGTGCACACAGGGAATGCAGAAAGAGAAATTCATAATGTCATGGTTCATTGCAGCTAACTATGTCTGTGTCTAAGAATTTTTCAAGAGTACGCCTGAGGAGTATTCTTCAATAAACAGTATTGATGTTTGTTTTGAAAAGGAACTTTAAAACTGACCATATCTGTATCTCTGAAAAGCTCTGTTTGAAAAACACTCGCTGTGCAGGTAAGTGTTATAATCTATTAGACATTACTTGTTCTTTGTAATGCAGGATTACAGCTGGACAGACATCCGATGTCCCTTTGAAAAGCGCAGGGATGCAGCTTGTGTCTTCTGGGACAACGTAGTTTATATTTTGGGTGGTTCCCAGCTCTTCCCTATAAAGCGAATGGACTGCTACAATGTGGTGAAGGATAGCTGGTATTCCAAGCTAGGACCTCCAACACCTCGAGATAGCCTTGCAGCCTGTGCTGCTGAGGGCAAAATTTATACATCTGGTGGTTCAGAAGTGGGTAAGATACTAAAAATCTTTAAACAAACAAACAACAAAAAAAAGCGCACAAAGATAGATACCTGGAAGTTTTTCTGGTTTTTGCATGACTGTTGAAAAGAAACTGCACGTTGCCATGTTAGCCTAATGACTTTGTTTTCCTGTATTCAGGATTTTATCCTCCCCACAATCGAAATATCTTTTTCTGTTGTAGTTTTAAGATGGTTTCACTGATTGAAATGATGAGTATTTATGTAGAGTATAAAGCACACAGCATCTTTTAGGAGTTAACGAGGGACAAAGCAATTTATTTTGAGAGTCCCACTTTGCTCTTAGCTTACTTCTGTAAATCCACAGAACTTGGCGTGGTTTAAAATTTTTGGCAATGTATGGCCCAAATAGTTGCATTTTTACAATGACATTCCTTACATATAACATATGCTAGGCCTAGTGAGTCTTTTTAAGAAAAATACTTTTCTAACTATTACTTCTGGTTGGAAAATAACAGTGAGCCCTATAGAGGAATTCATCCACTCTTTCTCTGAAATGACAGATTCTGTTAGATTCTGTTAGTTTGTTACTCGTGTCATTCAGTTGGTCTGCTTCAGTAAATGGAGAAATACTACTTCGTTTAGATGTTATTACTCAACATAGTAACAAAAAAATAAAGGCCATTGGTTTTTTTGCTCTCCCCAAGAAACCCAGTGAGTGACTTAAGCTATGTATTATAGCAACATTTTAAAATTTATTTTTCTAAACCTGATACATTGTCAGCAACCCAAAAGTTATAATGTAGGTATGCTAGATCCATTAAAATATTGTAGCTTTATAACGTGATGTGTTCTGGGGAAAAAAAAAGAAAAATAACCCGAAAAACCAAACACTAGAGCCAGGGAGAAAGTTTCTAGTAGCTCCTTTGGAGTTGTGCGTTGCTGCAGAGGGAGCTGAGCCCAGGAGCAAAGCTCACACCCGGTGCTTAACACTGATGAGTCCCTTCCCGGCAAGTCGTGACATTCGCGTCCCCTTCTCGGAAGCGGTCTCATGTCGCAGCAGCTCGGACGGTTCCTCGCCGCCACCTGCTGTGGCGAATGGGAAATAGCACCTTCCCGGGCCTGGCCATGGAACCGCCCTGGTTCCCCACTGGCAGTTCCTGAGGGAGCACCACACAGACTGGGGTTGCCCGGCTTATTTTCGAATACTGTGGAGTTCGTTAATGCAACCGGAATGGAAAGTTTCCTTTGGGGTCTTCCTTTTCAAGCTACCCTCGCCTTAGGGCACAGTCTCACTTTGCATTACATATATATTATTCAAGATGCAATAGTAAGAGCTGAAAGTTAGTAACCGAGTTTATTTTGCCTGTAATTTTTTTCTTTTTTGGAATCCAGTGAACACTGCTTGTTTTAAACAGGTCTGTCTATCCCGAATCTCTTTATTTGCTAATTTGGAGCAAGCAGTTATGTGAAACCATCCACTGGAGAAATACTAGAGAAATCTAGACATGGCATGGGTTTTGCATTGATTGAAGAGTTTGGAAAAGAATTTACTGGGCCAGTCCATTACAGAAAAGAGGGCTCGTTTCCCCTCTTGGTATTGATGGAGCACTCTTTTAGTTGCAGTAGCTAGCAAGGTTTGGAAGCTAGGTATGACACTAAACTCTTGCACTGAATTTAGGCGCAGGAAATATATTTAATGTTATACCGACAGCCTTCTGAAAACAGCAGCTTTTCCCTTTTTTCAAAAAGACGTTCAAGACAGTTCCGCTCTGTTTCCCGTGGATGAGAATTTCCACAGCTTCAAGGCTGTGAGGAGGTGTATTAAAGTCAAGGACAAAATACGTCCCACTCTTTACAGTTCTTGGTGCTGTTGGGAGTTCCATGGTAGGAGCAGACAAATGCGCAGTTTGTAGAAGTCTGCTCCTGTGTTCTGGGCCTGGAAATGTAGCACGGTTTTGAGGGTTCCAGTCCCCAGGTGGCAGTGAGTGCTGCTAGTGCCACACCCCTGACCTGCAGAAGTAGAAAGCCAAGGGACAGGAGGCACCTGTCACTGTTCTAGGTGAATCCAGCTCTTGGAAACCAAGGGGAGGAGGATCCTGGTTCTTTTCTGAGAAAGGTATCTCCAGCCTTCTCTGCTCTGCCCATGGTTCAGCCTGTAGCCACCTGAGCATGAGTCCTGGAGCGCCGATCTGTTTTCATTAGAAAAACTTCTGATTTCAGGAATGGTTTTATTGGCCCTTGGGGGAGGAGTACATAGACCTAGCACTTCCAGACAATAAGCACCTGTCATTCGGCAGGAAGAAAGTCAAATGGTGATGGGATGCTGCCTTGTGGTTGCTAGTAATTCAGGAGTGTGTTGTGGTATAAGCTTTCTAATTCCAAAGGCAACAACTATTTTGGGAATTGCACAAGTTACACTGCTTAGAGACAAAAGACTTGTGAAGCTGTACCAAGTTTACAAAGCTGGTCATCTTCACATCTGAAAGTTCATTATATTTCCAGGAAGCATGAGATGATGACAATATGACTGATAACTTTAAACAGAGATGTGTATATTTCTCCTAACTAAAAAAAAATAAAATATATATATCCACATTTGGGGTTGGTTTTAAAGGCAGATAGTACTTTTAGAAACTTAACTTGCATAGTTTGGTATGAACGAGTCAGAAGAATGACTCTTCTAAATAATTCCAAATTTCAGGTTGCTTAGTTCTGCTTTTGGAGGTGGGGAAGCAGCTTTCCCTTTTCAACTCCCAATTAAGGCATCATTTTGATAAATGCTGTTAAGACTCTTCTCTTGAAAGACAACCATAAAAATTAATGCCACTTTGGTGGGTTTCTATTTCTTTAAGGAAATTCTGCACTGTATTTATTTGAATGCTATGACACAAGAACAGAAAGCTGGCACACAAAGCCCAGCATGCTGACTCAGCGATGCAGCCACGGCATGGTAGAGGCGAACGGTCTCATTTATGTATGCGGAGGAAGCTTGGGAAACAATGTTTCTGGAAGAGTCCTAAGTTCCTGTGAAGTTTATGATCCAGCCACTGAAACGTAAGTATTGGATCAGTTCTGATTCTTCTGAGTCACCTGTGGCTTCTTAAAACCAAAGAGTAAATTTTTTTTCCCTGTGTTGTTTGGTTTTCTTTTTCCCAGGTGGACAGAATTGTGCCCAATGATTGAAGCCAGGAAGAATCATGGTCTGGTGTTTGTAAAGGACAAAATTTTTGCTGTGGGTGGACAAAATGGCTTAGGTACTTCAATTCTATTTATTCTTTAGCTGGTCACACATGCTTTCATTAGGGCCTTTTTTTCTCCTCTACTCTCTTTAGCTGAAAAACTTTCAAGCGGTACCATGAAACATTTGTTGCTTTCACATCATTGTTGCCTTCCTACTTTCACCTCTTTGGCTCACTGTACCTTATTTACAAATTATTATTTTTAGTTATACATTATATATTTTGAGAGATTTTGGCATTCTTGCAACACCCGTAAAGGTGTAGCTACTATTTTAGCAACTTCAGTCTAAAGACTTAGAGCTATTAAATTAACCGTACCTCTTCTGAATTAATGATACTAATGTGTTTGTTTTACCAAGATGCTATTAAGCAGAGCTCAGAAATCTGGAGGAGGAGGAGGCACTAGAGTCAGGTGAAGAGAACATTTCCTCTTGATCAACCCCCCTCCGTTAATGGCTTATAAATTACCAAACCTCCTATTTAAGAGGAGGGTAAAAGTTTAGTCCACAATATATAGAACTAAATGTATTGGTTCTTTAATGCTTAAAGATAACATTTCAGTTCTTGCTGTGGACCCCGTGGTACTACGTGAAACTTCGCTGTAGCCCTGTTTCCTTCCAGAGGAGCACAGCACCCTGGCTTGCTGAAGCATCCTGAGCCAACTGAACGTTTGGGCCGAGAGGCCGTGGGCAGGCGCTCGGCAGCCTTAATGGAAACCGCGGTGCCTCAGCCCGTGTGCTCAGGGCATGGGTGCCAAAATCCTGCCAGTGTCACGTTACAGTACCGGGGTGCTTATAGGGATTGTTCTGGGATTGTTTTGTGGGTGAAAGAAGGCATCTGGGTTTGGTTATTGTTGCAGATGACCCAGTGCAGGCTTCTTGTAACTGTCAAACCAAATGCTGATACGCTGGCCTAGAGTTCCATTTAATTCCCATGAAGTGTGATTTTCCAAAGGGAGTCTCCAGAGCGGTACTGAGGTGCACAAATTAAGCCACGTACATCTGTCGGGGCTCACTTCGATTGCTGGATTGTTTAGGCCAGTTAATCCTCAGATTTTGACAGAGGAACATACCAAGATCTGTTATGCCACTATAGTTACAGAAAACCTCCATCTCTACAGAAGCTGTTAAACTCACTTTTATAATAAGTTAGTATTTAACAACAGCCAAATGTTTGTGGTTTGTCAGGCTAATTCCATAATTCACTCATATTTCATGCTGTACGCTTTCCTGCATTTCATTTGCAAAGCCCCAAGGGTTCTAAAACCCAATTGTATTGGAAAGTTACAAGTTTTTGGTGTGTCTTTTTTTAAAACACAACACAACTATCTGTAATCTAGAGGACTACTTGTATTAAAGCAGCATTCTAGCATGGCAAGAGTGTATTTTGGGGTAAAGGTACAGAATTAAGTCCTGCTGATAACCTTGCGGTATTTTTTAGATGGCTCTGGATGGTTCTGTCTTATATTTACAGTGGTAATTGTTTCAAAGTCACCTGTGCTTTTTTGCTAATGTTCATCCTCTAAAAGGACTAATTTAACAAAATAAGGAACATTCTAAGTAACAGCTAAGGCTAGGCTACCTCACACAAATGCCAAAACTGTCTTTACTATTTAAGTGTTCTTTTCAGAGGAAGCTGAAGGTGTAGCTGGTTTTAGGAATGTCAGTCTAAAGATATAAAGCCAGTCAGCTAGTTGAAAGTGGTAAAAAAGTGAGAACTATTTTGACTGCCCTAGTTTAGAAATATGACTTGCTGTCATAGGCAGGTCATTCACGATCTGTCTCCTTATCTTTAAAACTGGAATAATAATAATAACTTATTTCCCAGGAGAATTGAATTTTATCGTAGAATTATTTGGGTTGGAAGAGACCTCAAAGATCATCTAGTTCCCCCCCCCTGCCATGGCAGAGGCCCCTCCCACTAGGTCAGGTTGCTCAGTGCCCCATCCAGCCTGGCCTTGAACACCTCCAGGGATGGAGCATCCACAGCCTCCCTGGGCAGCCTGATCCTGTGCCTCACCACCCGCAGGGGAAAGAACTTCTTCCTTAGATCCAGTCTAAACCTATGCTCTTCCAGCTTCCACTCACTACCCCTCATCCTTTCACTACAGGCCCTTGTAAAAAGTCCCTCCCCAGCCTCCTTGTAGACCCCCTTTAGGTCCTGGCAGGCCGCTATAAGGTGTCCCCAGAGCTTTCTCTTTTCTGGGCTGAACAAGCCCAAGTCTCTCAGCCTGTCCTCGCAGGAGAGGTGCTCCAGCCCTCTGACCATCTTGGCAGCCCTCCTCACTCCAACAGCTCCATGTCTGTCTTGTGCTGTGAATTTTAATTGCAGTGTTTCTGAGGTGGTTTTCAGAATGGATAATTCTCAGCTATGAGGTTTATTAATCACTGTTTACGGTAATTTGAATATTTGACTTCAGAATAATACTACTTTAAAATATAGCTTATATTTAATTGGCTGCTAAAACCATTCCAGCATGATTGATTTCTAATGCAAAAAGATCAGTAGAGGCATTTTGCTATGCAAATTTAGTGTATTCACTGGATGCTCATTTTAGAAGTGTGTACTATTGGAGCAGTGAGTTAAAGTATTATTTTGCTGTTCATATTCTGTTGCCTGACAGACGCACACAAGTCTATGGGGCTGGCATTGGTGAGGGCACTTTGAGTATCGTGTCCAGTTTTGGGCACCTCACTGTAAGAGAGATATTGAGGTGCTGGAGCGAGTGCAGAGGAGGGCAGCAAAGCTGGTGAAGGGTCTGGAGAATAAATCTTATGAAGAACGATTGAAGGAGCTGGGGCTGTTTAGTTTGAAGAAGAGAAGGCTAAAGGGAGACCTCATCACTCTCTACAACTACCTGAAAGGACATCGTAGGGAGGTTGGTGCTGGTCTCTTCTCACAGGTAATTAGCAATAGAACAAGAGGGAATGGCTTCAAACTGCAACAGGGTAGGTTCAGACTGGACATTAGAAAATTCTTCACAGAAAGCCTAGTCAGACATTGGAATAAACTGCTTGAGGAGGTGGTTGAGTCACAATCCCTGGATGTGTTTAAAGGTCGTTTAGATGTGGTGTTGGGGGATATGGTTTAGGGGTGAGCAGCTTTGCAGAGTAGCGTTAACAGTTGGACTCGATGAGATCAAGGGTCTTTTCCAACCTGAATGATTCTGTGATGATTCTTAAAGTAATATAGTGGGGCAAAGTTTATCTCTGGGGTGAAGCATTTAAATCTCTTAACATTTATGTAAAGGTTTCTTTACCTCTCCTATCTAATAATTCAAGTCAGGAGGTGAAAGATCTGTGACTTGTATTAGAATTGTTAAATAGGAATAACAGGATGTTTGTAGATATTGTAGTGTAGTTACCAGCCTATTTCCTGAAGAAGCAAATCTCAGTCACAAAATCGACTCTTCTAAGAACTTCTGCTTCCCTTGGCCCTTTTCAAAGAGACTTAGCCTCTTAAACATCAATGATTGTAATAACATCATGGAAACATCGCCTCTCAGTAAATGACCAATTTAGGTCAAGGTGCGAGTGATCCCTCTAGAATAAAATGCCTGCAAGAGAGGCAAATTACAGGTGGATTCCTCAGTTTCAGTCACTGGCCACAAATCCTTAAGAAATTGAGTAGTTAGCCTTCCTGTTCATGAAGTAACATCTTACAATCTCTAGAAAGTTTATAATGTGAAATTTGTTACAACATAACTCTGTCTCCTTTTTACTTTTCTTTTTGTAAAAGGGGAAACCACTAGTTTAGAAACCTTTCTCCATTTCCCCCTTTTTTTTTTTAGCTCTGTGACTTAGGTTTTAATTGAAACCTTGAAAATAAAGACGAATTTTAAAACACCATTTGTATGCTCTGCTTCAGTCCATGTGGTATAATGTAATGAGCAGTCATCTATCTCATTGTTTTGCAGGTGGCCTTGATAATGTAGAATACTATGATATCAAGATGAATGAATGGAAGATGGTGTCTCCAATGCCATGGAAAGGTGTAACAGTGAAGTGTGCTGCTGTGGGATCTATAGTTTATGTCCTGGCTGGCTTCCAGGGAGTTGGTCGATTAGGGCACATTCTTGAATATAATACCGAGACAGACAAGTGGACAGCCAACTCCAAAGTCCGTGCTTTCCCAGTGACAAGTTGTTTAATCTGTGTTGTAGACACTTGTGGGGCAAATGAAGAAACTTTAGAGACCTGAAGACCTGATGCTGAGACATTCTTCAAGGACTTGGGGAAAGATGGCTATTGGTGCTTTGCTTCCATGTTTTACTGAGTCTCGTTAAGCTGAGTAATAGGAAACACTGAGATGCAGTCGTTCAATTTGTATATACAGCATAGTGCATAACATGGATTTTGTCATGCCCATTTTCTTGTCTGTTTTAAGAGATGGGGATGTGTTTTGAGAATCCACTTACCTAGCTGAGATCACATGCTATCTTCCTTTACAAGAACTTTTTGTGTGGCCTTGTCAGAAATAGACCCAGTCCAGTTATTTAGAAGAACTCAAAGCATTTGAGGAAGATGAGGTTTCTGGTTAAATGACACTTGGCCAAGCTCAGTTGCAGATGTTCTTCATTTACTGAAGGTGAGACAATGTGGCGTGGGTCATGAGAAATGTGAGTGAAAAAATCCTCTCATGTATACCTACCTGCAGAAAACTTACTAGGCTGCAGTGAAGATTTTTCCTCAGGAAAGACCAAGGACAGCACTATAATCAAGTTTCCTGTGATGAAGGGGGACAGGTTATACAGTGCTCTAGGTCATGATAGCTGCCCTCTTCTGGTCATCCTTTGCATGACTGTGCATCACTTTTGAAAGTTGGACAGGCTGCACATAGAGATTAGAGATTGGCTAATGACATCCTTGGCATTTTGGGGAGCTTCCAGAGAGACCTTTTTTAAATAAAATTAAGGTAGGGGGACGGTGGGGGAAGTCTACAATAATCGTGCACTATAATTAGCAAGTTGGAGACTTGGGTTTCATTTTCAGTAGATCTTCCCAGGGATTCATTTTCAGTGGATCTTCCCAGGCATCAGCCTGTACATACTGCAGATGCCAAACCATTAGCCAAGATGGGAATAGGAGTGGGGAAAGCAAAGTCAATACAACAAATGTATTGATTTTTTTCTTGAAAATGACTGTTTTTAAAACGGCATGAACCAAGTCATTAAAGATACTTTATAGAAGTCTTCTGAAGTTGCCCATGGTTATTAATTTCTGCTTTGTAAGCATATTGTCCTGCAAATATCTCCAGCCACCAGGATGGAAGAGTTTTTCTAGTGTAGAAGTTCAGCCTGTCAAGCTATTGGTGTCAATACTGTGTACATCTTCCAACCTCTGGCAAACTATATGAATGGTTTATTTATGCATGTCTGCCCAGCTCCCATGCTAGTTATTACTGTCTTCCTCCCAATTTTGTCACCCCTCTTCTAACTTGCTAACTTTTCCAGATCTGTTTCTATGAGGCTATCGAGTTAACTTAAAAAGTTGGTGCTTGCCTACCTGTACCTTGTGCATTGCTGCTGGTGTGGATTTTTAGCCTGTTTTATATCTGAAGATCATCCGGGTTCTCCGAAGTAGTATAAATTTGGGGTTTCAAAGTTATTGCTGCTTCGTAGACTTCCTCGGGGTTTTCCTCCTCACCCTCACAACTCCACGTACACAGAAAGTAACAGGTGCGCTCAGGGGCTCAGCAGTGGGTCCTGGGGCTCTTATTTCATTCAGTAGCAAGGCAAGTTTTACTTAAAAACTTTTGTCTGGCCTTTCCTTTCTTCTGAGCCATGAAACAAGCACGTCACTGGCGTCTACGTCACTGGCGTCTGCTTCTAAAGCTGTGACGCACCTTTTTCTTTGCAACGGCCTTAATAATTCTTTTTAAGCTGCTGAAAAGCTTGTAAGCACGAAGAACTTGCGAGGAGGAACTTGCCCACGAACACAGGCGCGGGGCCCATCTTCTCCCAGCGCCTTC